AGATGAGAAAACAAACAATGAAGATTTCAATTGACTTGTGAAAAGGATAAATCTTAGAAATGCTTAGGAATCGGGAATTAGAAGACTTTATGTTACTTTGCCCCCAATCCTGATCATATGCATGCATATATAGATTAACTGCTATGCCAAAAGCCATCTGTAATCTGTAATGATTGGTGATAAGGAACTAGTGTGGACCCAATGAACAGACAATAGTTCATGCAAAAATCAATATGGCTATCATATTAAAACTAAAGTAATTAAAATCTGTTGGGAAGGATAATAACCTAAAAATCAAGAGAGACATACTTGAGACAAGCATTTCTTTTGTGGGAGACAAATTCAAAATGCATTTGTGCACCCAACTCTAATTCACTCTTCTGTGGCTGCAAGTTTTTTATACAACTTGCTATCTTTGCTTCTTGTACTTCATGTCCAAATTAATAAAATTTACGATCGATGTGTCAGAAAATCTCTAGTAGTTGGTGCGATAGGTCTTTCAATAAATGAGTGGGGATTTACAAGAGACAAACATTTGACCAAAATCGACATGGCTTTGTCATCCAATTCATCACCAAGACTCGTTGATAGTGGTTGAGATTTCGTATCGGTTGATTTGCTTCACATATTTTTCGTAATTGCTTGATGAAATGTGGAAGAGAAAACCATGTGATCCCTTATCAGTCCTTGTTCCTTTCTATACCCCAATCAGGTTGTCCTTGTTTGCACCATATATTTCCTCCAAGAGAGAAATCCTACACGACCATTCAAGTATATATAAACCATATGACTGGCTCGTTTTATTACCACGAAATACAAGTTTACAAACTCCCAAGTCTAAAAATTCTGAAGTACAATAGTTTTCCTTGTTCTGCAAGTTCTTTGAGAGTTTCTTCTACTTTTGATCTCAAGCTTTACAACAATGGGTTTCCGTCTTCCAGCTGTAATTCCTGCTAAGAAACTTCTTCGACGATCATTTTCAAATACAGCCAGAGGAGCTTCCACTAATTTAGCAGATGTCCCAAAAGGTTATTTTGCAGTTTATGTTGGCGAGAGAGAAAAGCAGAGATTTGTAATTCCAGTTGCATTCCTTAAGGAGCCTGAATTTCAAGACTTGCTAAGTGAGGCTGAAGAAGAATTCGGGTTTGATCATCGAATGGGTGGTCTAACAATTCCCTGCAGATAAGATGCCTTCCTTGATGTCACTTCTCGCTTGAATGGATTGTGAGAATACATAATGAAATCTGCATATTACATCAACTAACTATTTGGGAGAATTTTGTAAAGTAGACAATCTCAACATTTTGTAACCATGTTTTTCATTGGGAAGTGAATCAATGTCTCCCTGAATTATGTAGAAATCTAGCAACTTTTAATTACATATTCATACTTCTTTTTTCTCATCCTCGTTCGTTTATCCATTATCCAAACTATACACAGATCTGTTTCCACATACTCGCCGCTTACAGCAATTTTACTAACTGTTCTCTTTACCAAATTTTTTTAGGCTCATTTCTGGTTTTCTATTTACGAGCATCAACATATTTCATGCTCGTGTGATGAATAATTTGATTTAACCATAATGGATTTCAATGCGACATATTTATAATCTATGATCCCTTTTATCTTTTATGGTGTCTAGTAGTGTAAATATTTTAAACTGATGATCGGGTTCGTTCATTGTATTCTTAGAAGTGTACTTGTAAAAAATCATCAAAATCGGAGCTAAAATGACTATTAAATTGTGATTTTTCATTTTCAAGCCTCGAAAGATTTCGTCCTATTACCTAATCTCCGAATGTTTGCTGTTGGTGATTTTTGGTGTATAAGACCTCGGAGTATATACAAATAAGTTTGACAATTAGATCATTGAAACTAAGTTCGTAGAATGCATATCCCATCAAAATAATAGATTCCACAAACACTTAAAGAGTTTATTTTATACTTTCATAAAGTAGAACATAAGCATTTGTGCCACTAGTGTAAATATTTTAAATTGATGATCAAATTCATTAATTGTATTCTTATAGGATCAAGGAGTTAGTTGAAAAAAATCATCAAAACTAGAGCTAAAACAACTGTTCAATCATGATTTTTCTTTCGTAACCATCGAAGGATTTCGTCTCGTTACCTAATCTCCAAACGTTTCTTTTCAGTAATTTTTGGTGTATGAGATCTCGGACTATATACAAACAAGTTTGACAGGTGGATCGTGGAAACTAGTCTCGCAGATTACGAAAATCATTGAAGGAATTTAATAGGCCAACCATCTCACTTAGCCCAACGAATATTTCCACTTGACCTAACAATATGAGTCATTTTTTTCCTTTGGCACCAAAACTTTGATGGTTTGTTGGCAAGAGTTTACACAATATGAGTCATTTTTTTCCTTTGGCACCAAATATTTGCCTGACAAATTTTTTCTTACCTTTCAAAAATATTTGGTCTCGTAAATATGTTGGAAAAATCCTAAATGTTGACCAGTTTTGCTCAACGAACTTAAATTTTCGTTGGGTCAAATGACTTGACTAGACGAAATATGGTTCGTCAGTACTTTCTGGTAGTGAACATTGATGAAATCAATGCCCTGAAGCATTCTCTTCATAAAAAATTTACAATTAAAGATTTCAGAGCATAGAAATATTTTATTGGAATTGAAATGACCACATCTCATACAGGACTGTTTTTAAACCAACGTAAATATGTGCTTGACTTACTTCAAGAAGGTGAAGTGCTGGATTGCAAACGAGCTCATACTCCACTTGATAGCAAACTGAAGCTAGATGTTGAAGGGGAAGCCTCTCACTGATATCTATTCTTCCAAAGATTAGTTGATAGGCACATTTATCTTAGTATCACAAGGCCAGACATTGTGTATGCAGTGAGTAAATGAGTCAATTCATGCATTCCCCTACAATGGTGCATTTACACTACACTTACATGTTGAAAAATTCTATGATACCTCAAGGGACAGAGATCATGGGATACACGGATTGCAAGTCAACTACTGGTTATTGTACCTTTGTCGGAGGTAATTTGGTCACATAGAAGAGCAAAAAGTAGATTGTGGTTGCTTGTTCTAGCGTAGAAGCTTAGTATAGAGCAATGGCACACACTGTGTGTGAGCTTATTTGGTTAAAATGTCTTCTCTCTGACTTAGGGTTTACAAGCAATCATCCTATGTCCTTGTTTTGTGACAACCAAGCAGCCATGTTGTTAGCTAACCCACATCAGTGGGGGCAAAATAAAATAATGGGTTTAAATATTACCCTACTCTAACTAATATTGAGGCCTTTTGTGGTAAAACCTCACACCTGACGGATTGGGCAGGTGGTAATTATGAAGTTGGGGACAATATCTATATCGTTAAAGTGGGCCCCCAGGGCCTGTTAATCTAAAATTCCAACATTGCATCAGAGCCCACGGTTACGGGCTTGTACATGCCAAAAGCTTGCCACCAGGAAGTATGAGCTTGGAAACAAGCCTGGACTCTTAACATAGAGCCGGCCTCTAAGTTCTTAAGAAGCACCTTTTGGAAAGATTGAAAACAAGTCTAGACTCCATTGAAGCTGACCTTTGAGTTTTAATTGTCGACGTATGGATCTCCACATGTGAACCACTAAATGGGGTTACACATGAGGGAGTGTGTTAACTATCCCACATCGGTGGGGGCAAGAGAAAATAATGGCCTTAAATATGATTACCCTACTCTAACTAATACCGAGGCTTTTTTTTGTGGTAAAACCTCATACCTGATGGATTGGGCAAGTGGTAATTATCAAGTTGGGGGCAGTACCGATGTCGTTACAGTGGGCCCCCCGGGCTCGTCGATCTAAAATTTCAACACATGATATTGCTCAAATCCTGTATTTCACGAAAAAACAAAAGATATTGAAGTCAATTATTATTATGTTCGTGCTTAAGTTCAATCCAAGGTGATCAAAGCTATGTACACTCGCAGTCATGACCAGCCGCAGATGTCTTCACCAAAGCCTATCTTCTACTCAGTTTCAACGATTGTTGGTCAAGCTCGGATCAAGTAATCTTCTTGATCCAGCTTGAGGGAGAGTATTGGGGAACAAGTATAGGTTAGGTTGTAATCACCACTTTATCCCTAGTTGTGAGGTTATGTGGCTACTACCTTACTCACGTTACCTCACCCTCTCTTCCTTGATTTAGGGTTGCAGTCCTTGTTTTCTGTAATTAGGTCGATCCCGCAATTAGGGCTTAATTCATGGGGAAGGTTGTGGTGAGGAGGGTGCCGTGTTGCCCAGTGGTTATCCGTCCTGTCTCAATCTCTCTATAATAGCTCGTACCTTGTTAATCTTACTCGTGCTGATATGTCCAAACCTACATTAAAATTCAACATGGTCATATGTATGCATATATAGATTAACTGGCATGCCAAAAGCCATCTGTAATCTAAAAAGATTGGTAATAGGAAGAAGGATGGACCCAATGAACAGACAATAGTTCGTGCAATCGATATGGTTATCATACTAAAACTAAAGTAACAAAAATCTGCTGGGAAGGATAATAACCTAATCTCAAGAGAGACATACTTGAGACAAGCATTTCTTCTGTGAGAGACAAATTCAAAACGCATTTGTGCACCCAACGCTAATTTGTGGTTGAAGTACTCTTCCGTGGCTCCAAATTTCCTTTACCACTTGCTATCTTAGCTTTTTGTATTCATGTCCAAATTGATAAAATTAACGATTGATGTGTCGGAAAATTTCTAGTAGTTGGTGCAACTGGTCTTTCAATAAATGGAGTGGGGTTTTGCAAGAGACATAAGCATTTGATCAAAATCCACATGGCTTTGTCATCCAATTCATCACCAAAACTCGTTGGTAGTGATTGAGACTTCGAATTGGTTGATTTGCTCCGCATATTTATCCTAATGGCTCGATGATATTTGGAAGACAAAACCATGTGATCCCTTGTTCCCTTCTATATATACCCCATTCAGGTTGTCTTTGTTTGCACCATATATTTCTTTTAAGAGAGAAATCCACACGACCATTCAAGTATATATAACCACATGGCTGGCTCGTTTTATAACCACGAAATACAAGTCTACAAACTATCAAGTCCAAAAATTCTCAAATAGTTTTTCTTGTTTTGCAAGTTCTTTCAGATTTTCTTCCACTTTTGATCTTGAGATTTACAACAATGGGGTTCCGTCTTCCGGCTGTAATTCCTGCTAATAAACTTCTTCGACGATCATTTTCAAATACAACTAGAGGAGCTTCCACTAATTTAGCAGATGTCCCAAAAGGTTATTTTGCAGTTTATGTTGGCGAGAGAGAAAAGCAAAGATTTGTAATTCCAGTATCATTCCTTAATGAGACTGAATTTCAAGACTTGCTAAGTGAGGCTGAAGAGGAATTCGGGTTTGATCATCCAATGGGTGGTCTAACAATTCCCTGCAGACAAGGTGCCTTCCTTGATGTCACTTCTCGCTTGAATGGATTGTGAAATTACATAATGAAAATCTGCATATTATACCAACTAACTGGTTGGAAGAATTTTGTAAAGTAGACAATCTCAACATTCTGTAACTATTTCGTATTGGGGAGTGAATCAAATGTCTCCCTGAATTATGTCAAAATCTAGTAACTTTTAATTAGATATTCACACTTCTTTTGCTCATTTCGTTCGTTTATCCATTATCTAAACTATAGACAGCTCTGTTTCCACATGCTGGCTTACACAATTTTACCAACTGTTCTCCTTACCAAATTTTATTCGCCTCATTTGTGGTCTTCTATTTACAAGCATCGAACTATTTCATGCTCGTGTGATGAATAAGGTTATTTAACCATAATGGTTTTCAATGCGATATACTTATAAGATACATTAAATCTTGGACGAAAATTTTCGGTGACAAAATTCTTTTAAAAAAAGTGGCTGATGAAAATTTTCGCTAACGAGTCTTATGATACCTTCTATCTTCCATCCAAAGCATAGTAGCTTTTGCATCTTAACTTAGTGATTGATATCTTCCTTTTCAGTTATAAATATTTTGTTAAGATTGAAGAGATAAAAATAAATAAAAAAAATAAAAAACATATTGGAATAGTTGTTCTTCAGATCCCGCTCTGATTGATGGGAGAGAAATGCCTAATAAACAGTTTTGTCCATAACATTATTTGAAAAACCAAAATGAAACTCAGGGTTTCATTTTATGCCACAAAGGAGTGTACTTATTTTATAATACAATACAGGATTAGGCAATATTAGCTCCTCAAAATATGATGAAAAACATCCGCCTTCGAACCAGAAGGCAAGGGTCTGATGCTCTCTCGGAGCCCACTATCCATCCTTCCATTCAAACTCAATACATAGAGAAAAATATTTCACAAAAAGAAGAAGGAAGCATGAATAAATTTATTTGTGAAATTTCACGAGTTTGACACAGGATGCAAAGTTTATGTGTAGGGTGGTTGATACAAGGATCGTAGTGACTTATTCTCAAACCAATGAACGCCGCAAGAGTTTGGTTTGTGGTGATGTAGAAATTGGCACGTGTAGTAGTGCTTGATGGTCCTTCACGAGTGTGGCGAAGAATGCAGAGAGATTTCTGTGTCGTTTGAGTGTGTAGAGTGTTTGAGAGTTATGTATGGATATCTGAGTGTAGGATATGTGTGAGGACCCTTGTTTTGTCTTGAAGCCTCGTATTTGTAGCCTCTGCATGTCTTGATTGAGATTGATTTGATCTTGATTTTTTACTTGATTAATTAACGAAGAACCAAGACTCGATTTGGACTTGATTCATGATTTTGACTTCATGAAATAATCTTGATTTAATCAAATTATCTTTGATTTAATCAAAAAATCAATAACAAGTCATCCTTAATTTGGCTGATCACCCTTGATTTGGTATTCATTTAATTTAAATCAAGATTAATTAAAGATAATTTTTTAATTATTTTTGCCAATTATCGACATGTGTCACTTTTGACGACTCGTCTGGTTTTGATGAGTCATACATGCTATGTGTACGATTTATGAGGCTCACAGCCGCATAAGCCTTGACATATTTCACCGAAATTTACATGTCTACAATATTGTTACATGTTCTACATACTATCATTAATTTGTAACATTTCTCTAAGACCAACTCCAACCCTTGGAGTAAGTCTCAAAATTTAGGTTCTTCCCCCTCCCCCCCCTCCCTTACAAAAACACTCTAACCTTTGGCCTAAAATTGGGTTATGGGTTAAAACTAAAATATTGAGCAAATTCCAGCCAAAGAATAGGTTTGGGTTAGTGGGGTAGTCCACTTATGCAAGTGCGAAACCAACATGTGAACTTCACCTGCCCAAAATCACGCGCAAACACATGCCAACACGCTAGGCCTGCAAGCTTGCGACCCTACCCACGTGGGTTATGTCAGCCACTTGTCTAGCACCCATAAGAGCCCAACGGCTCTTTTTCTCATCCAAAGGCTTTGCTTTATTGGACAGTTGGATCAACCAACGGTCCACGTTCAAATTTGTTTTTTTGTTTTAGTTTATATTTATAAATTTATTGATCCAACGACTGAGATCGAATATGATCAAATCTAACGGTGAAAAATAAAAAGATTTAACAGCCAAAATTTAAATTCAACGGCTAAAATAATTAAAATAATAATAATTTAACTCAAAATTCACCCAAAAACTTTATAAATACTTATGTATTTGTTCAAACATCCACACAAAATTCACTTTTCTCATACAATTCTTCAAGTTTTTCTTTCTACCATCTTCCAAGACCATGTGTTTGTTCATGTGTTTTGTGTTTATATATCTCTATCATGTGTTTCATATTCTTCCATAGTGTTTCATAAGTTTCATGTGTCGATTTAGTGAGTTTTCAATGTTTATCAAAGTTTAAATATTTTTAAATTAAAATGTTCATAAAATTAATTTATGATAGTCCACATAAATTTTTTTTTAAAGTTAAATAAAAAAAAACTTATATTCATTCTTTAATAATCTGGGGCTAAAATTTTAGACAAGAATGGTTAAAGTAAAAAAGCTGTTTCTGAGTTAAAACCTATATTTTCAGGACTAAAATTTTTAAGTTTCACTCCAAGGGGTGGAGATGGTCTAAAGAGGTAGGGCCCACCAATAGTGGTGAAGCTACGTGAGGGCGAGGAGTGACGACCACCCCTCCCCTCGCCAGAAAATACGCCTAGGAGCACTGGTTTAGCCTCTTCGCTCTCGTCGGAATTCATGGTACCTACAAAAATTGGTTTTGGCCGGTGCACTGTCTTGGTCAATTTTGCAGAGGAAGGGCGATATTTTGGTTGGATTTGTAGAGGAATGACGAAGACGGAGGGGAGAGGTTGGAGGGATAAGGACCCCTTGATTATCTGGGTAGGTTTTGTTGGATGAGTTTAGATGCATAGTCGACGACAAGTGGCTACAGCTCGTGAAGAAGAAGAGTTTTGCTTTCTCTTTTTCTCTTTTAAAGCTTAACACGCTATCGTTTAAAAGGCTTGGTTTTAATAAAACACTGCGTTTGTTTTTATTATTATTATTATTTATATCTTTTGGGGAAAGGCTGCATGGTTGTTTGTTTTTCCTTTTCACTTCTAAAACCTCACAAACTCGTCCCACCCATATGTCTATTATATATAAAACTAGTGCCTTAATAATTTTATTTTAGGGAACTTTAATGAAAATGGCTTCTCAAAACTTTTAATTAACCAAAAACCATCTACTAACTTTATTTAATAAAAAAGGCTTAAACTTTAATAAAAAAGGATTCAAATTTTAATGAAAAGAACAAAAGTTTTACATAACAACAAAACACAAAAACACAAAAAAAAAGCATATACTGACGCACGGGACCGCGCGTCACATCACACACACACACACACTCTCTTCCTCACTTAACCATGCAATCTCTTCCTCTTTCGTATGTTCACATCTATTTTTTTCTCTCCTTTCACCTCACCCATCCACATCAACTTTTTCTCTTTTTATTTTTTTATTTTTTTTATTTTTTCACCTCTCCCAACTCTTCTCTCTCCTTTCACCTCACTCCATAAACATTTTTTTTATTTTTTTATTTTTTTATTTGATTATTCTTTCAATTTTTTTAGAACAAACTAAGTAATAATATTACAAAATAAAAAATAAAGAAAATTTTCATTATTTAGTTTTATGAACATTAATACTATGACTATTTTTTAAACAGAATATTGACTACTTCTTAAACCAAACACTATTTTGTAAACTAAACATTGACTACTTCTGAAACTAAACAGTATTTCTTAAACTAAACACTAACTATATCTTAAACGGAACACTAATACTATCATTACTTCTTGAACTAAACACTGACTATTTCGTAAACTAAATACTGACTATTTCTTAAACTGAACGCTAGTACTATTACTATTTCGTAAACTAAACACTGATTATTTCTTAAACCGAACACAATAGACTATATATATTAAACCAAGTAATAGTATTATCACTATTTCGTAAACTAAGCACTGACTATTTTTCAAACCAAACACTAGTATTATCACTGTTTCGTAAACTAGTACTGTCACTATTTTGTAAACTAAGCACTGACTATTTCTTAAACAAAAAGCTAACTATTTCGTAAACTAAACATTGACTATTTCTTAAAATTGAACACTAGCACTATCACTATATTTTAAATTATTTCCTTAGAAATTACTGTCATGTATTGATGTCAGCAATATATTTTTTTATCTCAAATTTCTCTCCATTTTTAAAATTTTTTAGAGTTTGTTGATGTCAGCCGGAAAGGATTTGGTTGGCTCTACCCTCGCAATCTCTCTTCCTTACACACTCCCTCTCTTCCTTCCCGATGAAATATTTAAAATGTAATTTGGGTGCTAATTTTGCACCATTGATTTTCTGTTGAAAATTACTACTTTTCTTTTCTTTCTTTTTGTATGTAAACAGATTTCTCTCTCTCCCTCTCTAAAAGAAAAAAGAGTCATTGAAGCTTCACTCTCACGTTTTCCTTCCCAATGAAATGTTTTAAAAATAATTTATTTCATCCATCCATTCCATCTTATCATTTTAAAAATAATTTATTTCATCCATCAATTCCATCTCATCATTCATTCTACTACTCCCACTACTTATTTTGCACTGCACGTTAGTCTTCTTATCAGTTCTATCTGCTCACAATTACAGCAAAGGCTTGATTTGATATTTGAATTGGTTGGCGCGTGCTTACGCGCGGTTGGGTTGGATTATTTTTTTATTTTTTTATTTTTTATTTTTCGTCCTTATCATTAAATAAAGTTTATATATGATTTTTGGTTAAAATTCAAAATTTTGAAGCTCTTTTGGTTAATTTTCCTTTTATTTTATCCTAAAACCAAAGAAACTCGTATTAATTATAAACGTAGCTATTATTATATTAAAAATAAAAAATTGTTTGATAATTATTTTGTTTTCACTTTTTTTTGTGTTACTTTTTTTAAAACTAAATTTGTTGTACTTTCTACTTACATTGGCTTTGATATGTTGCTTACAATCGCTTTGGTGGATAGACTATTTTCTACTATGAATATTGACTTAAAACTTTGTACTCTCCAATGTGAAAACAACCGCTTTGATTGAAACTTGCACTCTTTTGAATTTTGCCCCTCCCCTCGACAAATCCTGGCT